AAGTACGCGGATGGTACTGCAGTGTCAGCATCGTTGAAATCATCCGCTGATATGAAACTTTGCACAAGTGACATCTGCATAACGATTCAGTACTTTTATGTTAACGATTTCCCTTTGAATGCGTCTGTGGAATGAGGAATATAAGGAACCGAACACTGCAAAATCTTCGTTAAAACCCCTGCATGTAAACCAAAGTTTACTAACAGGCAGTACAATGGCAAAATATTAATTTGTCACTTTATCTTACGTTAACCCGGTATGTGCATGAATAAGTAAATGACGTTATTGAAAAGTTTGTATTTCCACGTACTCTGTCATTTGTATGCACCAGTGACCATTTTTTCCCGGTTTAAGAATAGATAACTTCGAAGGGTTAAACCGTCCTTTGAAACGGATCTCCAGCACGAGTGGACTTATAATGATCTGCCGATTTCTAATGGCATGCGCTGGGCGTAGATTATCCTGCACAATAACAATCACACACTACACGGTAACCTATTCCAATGCCTCTTACATGTTTTCATTTACAAAATCTAGCTACGTGAATGAATTTGCTGGGTCAGAGCTTCGCCAGAAACCCATAATGTCTAAATCAGCGCCAGTTTGGCCAAATCAGAATTTCAGCCGCATCACGTAAAATTGTTCAGTGTTGCATAGTTCTGCATTTTCCTGCCTATTCGTCCCTACATATGGGATTTTGGTTATTTACTGTATTCCTCCGTTGCTAACAGAAAGTGGTAAGTTTTATATTCTGTAAGGTGTACAATGTTCTATAGCATCTTCATATTCCATGACCGCTTTTCCTTTTGGATTGCGTAGGTAGACGCTTCAGACATAGACTGCATCGTTCCCGATTCTGAGCTTCGGCAGAAGACAATTGGAGTCCAGAGCAGACTCCTTCCATATATTTGCTGGAGGTTAATATTGGCCGCCCCTGAGCCTTCTGCCGGACGGTTGGGCAAGAAACAATTGCTTCGCCTTCCTTTGTAGAAACCATCGCAACACACGGCAAACCCATTGCAGCCATGACTTCTCAATCAGAAAAGGCTGTGGCTGTACACCAAGGGTCTCGCAGATTTCGGAACTCCGGACCACGTCAAGACGTGTAAGAACGGCGACTCTCAGAAAGCCTATTTCAGCCGCTTGTACGGTGCATCGTCATTGCTATTTGGTATAGCCTACGACTTTTGACCGTCGTTTAACATTGGAACGAAAATCGTATGGAACAACGAGGCTTTAGACTTCAGACTTAGCTCTGCTTTGATCATAACGGTTCAGGCCAGTTCACGCACAACGCCACTAGCTATTCCAATACGCCGATCGATCTGTTTCAATTTCCATCACCAGAAAACAGTACTTCGAGGTACTTGAACTTCTCCATTGTTTCTCCCTCTGTCTGGAAAGTGCAAAGGGCGGGAGAACGAGAAAGCACTAGGCTTCCGTTTAGATGCGTATGCCAGCCATGTCGTACTTGGTTGTGGGACTTTTCAGAGATCGCGGGAGATCACTTGCCGAAGATGCCGACAATGCAAGATCGCCTGCAAACAGCTTCCTTCTCGTCTTGCCATGTCCTACACACGACCTTGGCTTAATTCTCTCACGGCCATGGCTGCGTCTGAGTACTCTATCGATGTACAACACAAACATAGGAGATGCAGCCTTGATGGAAACTAGGGCGAACGATGGAAGTTCTCGTCTCTGCGCCATTTATTTTTACGCAGCACCTGTTATCAGCAAATAATGATTGGAT